ATCTCAGGGTTAACCTGAGGGGATCATCTCAGGGTTAATCAAAATGAGGCTGTCAAAAGCTGCTTTCACATCAAGGTGCGAATGACAAAATCACACACTAAACTAGGGATTCTCTGCGTTCCACAGACCGAATTTAGTCCATGAATTTGGTGGAAAATGTGGTCCTCGTTTTCACTAAAAAATTTAGCATTAACTTCAATTATGAATGAGGAGTAGAACATAGGGGTGTCAGCCTATAACTCTGTCACCAGTGGAGATCACAGGTAACTTCACATCACTTTACAGTTGATACAGGCACTCAAAATCTTATTTAGGCTCATCTTTTGAAATGATGGTAAATTCTGAGATTGTCACTATTCCTTGTTATTTAATGTGTTGATAACAAAGCACATCTATCACTATACTGCAAACATATGTAAAAAATATTTTGGCAACTACATTTTTAATACGATTGTTTTCTTTCAAAATCTTATGTATTCATTCTTTTAAAAAATGTTATTTAGAGGAGCCCATAGGGTTCACGGGCTGCCAGCGAGTCCATGGCACATAAAAGTTTAAAGACTCCACCTCTAAATTTATCTTAAGATGAATGTCATCCTATTAGGAAAATTTTGAGCAGTATGGAAAAGTGAAGAATTTTTGATAATGGTGAGAGAAGATAATTTTGAGAATTTGTCAAGATTTCTGGGAGCTAGAAGAGATCTCAGAGATATATAGCTTTATTTGTTAAATCAACCTTATTCAGCTTTAATTTACATACAGTAAAATGCACCCATTGTTTTACGTGTGCTAATTGTTTAAAAATCGTGGCTGAAAACAAATAACATAAGCGTTACCATCTTAACCACATTAAGTGCACAGTTCAGCCATGTTAATTATATTCGCGTTGTTATGTAAAATGCACCCATTAGAAGTGTGCAGTTTGACTAGCTCTGACAATGTACTCGAGTAACCAGTCATCACTACAATTAAAGATACAGTATTTCTATCACTCCCAAAACATTCCTTTGTGTCTCTTTATGATGTCCACTACCCCAAACCCAAGTAACCATTGATCTACTTTTTGTCACTATAGACTAGTTTTGTCTTTTTTTTAGAATATAATTGCTTTACAATGTTGTGTTAGTTTCTGCTGTACAACAAAGTGAATCAGATATATGTGTACATATGTCCCCTCCCTCTTGGACCTCCCTCCACCCCCATCCCACCCATCTAGGTTATCACAGAGCACTGAGCTGAGCTCCCTCCGCTATACAGCAGGTTCCCACTAGCTATCTATTTTTCACATGGTAGTGTATATATGTCAAACCTAATCTCCCAATTCATCCCACCCTCCACTCCCCCCCCGCACCCCGTGTCCACATGTCCGTTTTCTACGTCTGTGTCTCTATTCCTGCCCTGCAAATAGGTTCATCTGTACCATTTTTCTAGATTCCTCATGTATGTGTTAATATATGATACTTGCTTTTCTCTTTCTGACTTACTTCACTCTGTATGACAGACTCTAGGTCCATCCACATCTCTATAAATGACCCAGTTTTGTTCCTTTTTATGGATGAGTAATATTCCATTATACACACACACACACACACACACACACACACACACACACACACACACACACACACATATATATATATATATATACACATATATATACCACATCTTCTTTATCCATTCATCTGTCGATGGACTTTTAGGTTGTTTCCATGTCCTGGCTACTGGCTATTGTAAATAGTGCTACAATGAATACTGGGGTATATGTGACTTTTTGAATTATGGTTTTCTCAGGGTATATGCCCAGTAGTGGGATTGCTGGGTCGTATGGTAGTTCTATTTTTAGTTTTTTAAGGAACCTCCATACTGTTCTCCATAGTGGCTGTATCAATTTACATTCCCACCAACAGTGCAAGAGGGTTCCCTTTTCCCCACACCCTCTCCAGCATTTATTGTTTGTAGAATTTTTTGATGATGGCCATTCTGACTGGTGAGAGGTGATACCTCACTGTAGTTTTGATTTGCATTTCTCTAATGATTAGTGATGTTGAGCATCTTTTCATGTGTATGTTGGCCATCTGTATGTCTTCTTTGGAGAAATGTCTATTTAGGCCTTCTGCCCATTTTTGGATTGGGTTGTTTGTTTTTTTAATATTGAGCTGCATTAGCTGTTTGTATATTTTGGAGATTAATCCTTTGTCCGTTGCTTTGTTTTCAAATATTTTTTCCCATTCTAAGGGTCAGCTTTTCATCTTGTTAATGGTTTCCTTTGATGTGCAAAAGCTTTTAAACTTAAAAAGAGTTTAAACCTAAGCTTTTAAACTTAATTAGGTCCCATTTGCTTATTTTTGTTTTTATTTTCATTACTCTAGAAGGTTGGTCAAAAAAGATCTTGCTGTGATTTATGTCAAAGAGTGTTTTTCCTATGTTTTCCTCTAAGAGTTTTATAGTGTTCAGTCTTACATTTAGGTCTTTAATCCATTTTGAGTTTACTTTTGTGTATGATATTAAGTAGTGTTGTAACTTCATTCTTTTACATGTAGCTGTCCAGTTTTCTCAGCACCATTTATTGAAGAGGCTGTCTTTTCTCCATTGTATATTCTTGCCTCCTTTATCATAGATTAGGTGACCATCAGTGCGTGGGTTTATCTCTGGGCTTTCTATCCTCTACCTTGGATCTATGTTTCTGTTTTTGTGCCAGTGCCATACTGTCTTGATTACTGTAGCTTTGTAGCATAGTCTGAAGTCAGGGAGCCTGATTCCTCTAGCTTAGTTTTGTCTGTTTTTAATAAATCATTTCACATACATGGGGTCCTACAGAATATACCCCAATCGTTTTTCCACCTGTTGATGGATGTGTGGGTTGTGTTGAGTTTTGGATTATCACAAATAAAGTTACTAAAAACATTGCTATACAAGTCTTTCTGCAGACACGTGTTTTCATTTCTCCTAGGAAAAAACCTAGGCATGGAATTGCTGGGTTATATGATAAGTGTATGTTTACCTTTATAAAAAACTGCCAAACTGTTTTCCATCATTTTGCATTCCCACCAATGATGTATGGGAGTCCCAGTTGTTTTACATTCTTCACAATACTTGGTATTCTCAGTCTTTAATTCCAGCCATTCCCTGTGTGCTGGCATCTCATCATGGTTTTAATTTGCACTGTCCTGATGGCTAATAATGTTGAACATCTTTTTCTGTGTGGGGGTCATGAGCAAATGTTCTTTGGAGGAGTCTGCCTAAATCTTTTGCCTCTTTTTATTGGGTTGTCTTCTTATTTAGTTTGGATACAATTCTTTTTTTTTTTTTTTTTTTTGCGGTACGCGGGCCTCTCACTGTTGTGGCCTCTCCTGTTGCAGAGCACAGGCTCCGGACGCACACCTCAGTGGCCATGGCTCACGGGCCTAGCCGCTCTGCGGCATGTGGGATCTTCCCGGACCAGGGCACGAACCCGTGTCCCCTGCATCGGCAGGCGGACTCTCAACCACTGCACCACCAGGGAAGCTGCATAACTTTATTTTTAAAGATGAAAAATTTAGAGCTGAAAGAGTAAAAAGCCTTGTACAGGGTCAAACCAAATAAGTTAGAAGCCAGGATGAAATGTGACTCTTGTAAATATTCATTTTTATTCATTTTTTTCATTTCCACGGGCATTATCAGCACTGCCCACAGTGGCATTCATAGACCATTGTGAGAAAAAGCCACCATCTGCTAAATATTCATTTTTAACTCTTGTTGAAAGTCAGCAAAGAGGGACACAGTAAATCGCCGTGGGGATATTGATGCTGGGAAACAATGCTTCCCTGGACACTGCTTCCCAGCCTTACTATGGGGTCCCTGCAGAAGTGAGAGGCAGCGGGAGTGAGAGAGCTGGAGCTGGCTCTTCGTGGAGCAGCCGTGTGACCTCACATGAGCTGCTCCGTCCCTATTGGTTGAATCCACACAGTCTGGATTCTCTAGAGAAACAGAGCCACGCACATGTCTTTGTATGTGTATAAGGGAACATCATAAGGAACTGGCTCACGCAATCCTGGAGGCTGAAAAGCCCCCACGATGTGCTGTCCGCAAGTAGGAAGGACGGTGGTGTAATTCAGTCCAAGTCCAGAGTCCTGAGAACCAGGGGAACTGAGGGCAGGAGAAGGTTGATGTCTCAGCTCAAGCAGTCAGGCAGGAAGGGGCAAGTTCCTCCTTCCTCCTTTTTGATCTGTTCAGGCCCTCAGCGAATTGGATGATGCCGCCCACATTGGGGAGGGTAAACCAATTTACTGAGCCCACCTATTCAAATGTTAATTTCATCCGGAAACACTCTCACAGACACACCCAGAAATAATGTTTAGGGCTTCCCTGGTGGCGCAGTGGTTGAGAGTCCGCCTGCCGGTGCAGGGGACGTGGGTTCGTGCCCCGGTCCGGGAAGATCCCACATGCTGCGGAGCGGCTGGGCCCGTGAGCCGTGGCCACTGAGCCTGCGCGTCCGGAGCCTGTGTTCCACAACGGGAGAGGCCACAACGGTGAGAGGCCCGCGTACCGCAAAAAAAAATAATAATAATGTTTAGCCAAATATCTGGCATCCCGTGATCCAGTCAAGTTGGCACATGAAATTAACCATCGCAGTTCCTCAGCTGTAAGATGTGGAGAATAATACGAGCCTCACAGGAGTACTGGGGGATTGAATGAGGTGATGCTTTGGAAGTATTTAGTGGGGCATCTGGAACACAGTGGGCGCTCGGGAGACTGACCCTTCATACCCTTAGGCTGCATGAGGGTCTTTTCTCCTGGGGCTGACCCTGGAGATGTCCCCTGGTAGCAAAGGGAGCCCCTGTTGGCCTGGGCATCCCATTCCCAGGTACAGCCTCCGCTTTCTTCCCTGTTCTCCTGGGGGCTGGGCTGTGACCCACACGCAACTCCCCTGAGGACATTCCAGCCCTCCTCCATGCAGCTGGGTGTCAGCTCAGCCCGTTCAGAGCAGTGGCCTGGACCCCACTCAAGAGGATGTCTCCAGAGCCCACCCCAGGCACACGCAGGGCAGTGATGCGTCCTGCATCATGGTCATTCTCGAGGCCTCAGTAGGCCCAGTGAGGTGGGGACAGGGACTGTGGGTCCTGAGGGGGTGTTGGGGAGGCCAAGCGCCACACAACACCTGCTGCATCATGTCTGGGTCTTCCTGCTACAATCCCTGGACTGAGTGTCCAGCTTGAGACTGCCGTGCAAATCTGCTCAGAAATGGATAAAGCTGCAGTGTTGTGGGCACGGGGGGCGTGGGGTAAGATAAAGGGGCCCTGGCCTAGCCCCCTCACCCATGATGTCTCCCTCACGCCTGCCTTTCCTAGGAATTCCTCCCAGGTGAGTCCAAGATCCCCTTTCACAGGGACAGGATGCTATCTGGGAAGATAAGTCCAATATTAGCCTCCAATGTTGACTGAACTGTTAATCCTGTGTCAGGTACCATTCTAAGCACTTAGAACACGATGACTCCACAGGACTGCAAGGCAGGTATTACTGTTATCACTAGTTTACGTATGAAGAAACAGAGGCACAGAGAGGTTAAGTCATCTGTTCTAGGTCACACAGTAAATTAGTGCAAAGCTGGTATTTCATCACATGGGCTCTGGCTCTTAGACATTGCTTGAATGAAGATATTAATTTTACAAGTTAATTCTTTGGTTAGATAGGAGGTTCCATTCTAAAGAAGAAGCAGCTGGGGCACAGTGGACCCCAGGACAAAGGTAATGTTGGAACTTTGAGAGTTTCTAAATGTGAGTTTCTGTGCTGCTTGCCTAAGATCATAGGACACTTGAGGTCTAATGTCTGATGTTGGGAAGTAATTTCTTCCTCCATGCCTCAGTTTCCCCAATTGTAAAAACAGAGGTTTTGCTGAATCATCCCTACGTTTTGGAGACATCTTCATGGATTTAGTGAAAACAAGAGTTTAACGTCAGCCACCTGGTTCGAACCTCCATGCCCCACTTACTAGCTGTGTGATCCGGGGCTGGATATTTAACCTCTCTGAGCTCAGTCTCTGCAGCTGCTAAATGAGAGTGCCACCTCTGGAACTCTTCAATGAGGAACTGTGGCTGAGTCCATTCGGGCTGCTATAACAAAAATACCATAGACTGGATGGCTTACAAATGACAGAACTTTATTTCTCATAGTTCTGGAGGCTGGGAAGTCCAAGATCAAGGCACCTGCAGATTCAGTGTCTAGTGAGAGTCTGCTTCTCTGGTTCATAGATGCTGTCTTCTTGCTGTGTCCCTCAGTGCCTGAGGGACAAGGGAGCTCCCAGGGCCTCTTTCATAAAGGCACTAATCCCATTCATGAGGGCTCCACCCTCATGACCTCCTAACACCATCAGACTGAGGATTAGGTCTCAACATATGAATTCTGGGGGGAGAGGCACATGCAGTGTGTGGCAGGTCCCTAGCACAGGGCCCAACACACTGCAGCAGTCAACGAATATAGGATTTCTTCCCTTCTGAGGCCCTTCCTGCTCTCTCTCTGGGATTTGAGCAGCAATTAGTCATCTAGCAAAGCCTAAGGAACTGGGTCAAAAGTGGCAAAGGTTGCCTGGTATTTAGGAGGGTGGGAGCCATGCCAGTCAATCCCTGGTCAGGTGTGTATGGGAGGGGTGACTGCTGGGGGGCCTGGGTAGTAAAGAAATGGTCCCAAAAGATGAACACCTAACCCTAGGAGGCTGTGTGACAGTCAGGAGTGTCTGGGGCAGTGGGAGCAGGAGAGAAAAGGAGGTACAAAATAGGAAGATATATAGAAAGAGAAAAAGAAATGTAAACTTACGTCCCACCATGAAATTATAAAACCACCATTTCCGACAATTAACTTGTGCCTAATAAAAATTTTTTCACACCAGGTCAACAAAGTGTGGATGAGATTTTATAACAGGAATTTTATAATTCTCTCATAAAAATTTATTACAACATTTGTTATGTAGTCACTAAACACAAGCCATTGTAAACAGAGCAGGCGACATTGGCCTTGGATTCATCAGTCCTGAGTCCCATTGCAATAGTAAACAGCTGTAGGCAAGTGTATCACACGAAAGGTAACAGTGCCACATGGGGAGGGCTTCTGGTAATGTGTGTGTGTGTGTGTGTGTGTGTGTGTGTGTGTGTGTGTGTTTTAATAGAGCTGTACTTCTGTTTAATAAGTTAGGAGAAAATAAAGTAAAAACTACCATGTAAACAAACACTAGAGGATGGTAACATTTTGCTTCATCTGTTTTATGCTTAGTACGCAGCTGTTGGTGAACATTCGCCCATAAGGACACACAGAGGGAAGCAGAGTCATAGGGGCCACAGTGACAGGTGCATTTGCTCCAACACAAAGTCACAGATGTCCCACCCATTTTCCTATAGGTCTGACTTTAGGAACAGAACATTGTACAGGAGCCAGGCATTTGCAGATCCCTCTGTCCCCCGGGAATGAAATATCTTTAGTTTTTCTAAATCTCGGCTTCCAAAAGTATTTTTGAAGTATCCAAATATAAAGTACATTTCCACGTGGAATGCTGAACTAGCTGGCACATGCCTTAGGGTTCCTTAGTGCAGACTCCCTTCTATTCTCTGGATGTCCAAGCTATGGACAGTGTAAGTAAGTCCCCGCAGCCCACTTTGCACAAACCCCCCAAATAATGAAATCTGTGAAAAGTGAAGGAATGCAAAGAATTAAACTTGGGTGCACTCATTACTTGGAGCTTCTGGCGTTCAAAGGGTAGCATCTAACCGGTCTCACCTCAGGGAGGTGGTGGTTCTCCCATTGGACACAGGGCCGGATGAAGCTCTGTGTGGGAGATGGCCGTGCTCCATTAGGGAGGATGGATAAGGGTGGCTGAAATTGTCTGCTGGCATCCGCTCAACACAACACCATAGCAGAGGGACAGATTTATGTCTTCCGAGGAGCTGCCTCACTACAATGGACGTGCACATCCAAATGGCAAAGGTTTGAACTCCTTCTCCCGAGCTATAGCCTAAGAATATAAAGACTAGCCTGTCCCTGTGTTTATAAAAATGTCCCATGTGGTAAGGAGGGTAAGGCAAGACACCTCTTTTATTTGTCATTGGACTTTCAAGGTTCCCCCTGGGGAAATCCTGATGGGGTTGGTGAGACACCGTACTCCTTAAATGTCCCTCAAATGTTCCAGAAGAGATTATGTTTACAAACTTGCTATAAAACAGGATTGTTGAGGTTTGGAATGATTTCAACTTACGAGGGGACTTGGCATTCAAATACACCATGGGGTTTGGTAACTAATAATTCAAGCAGAGATTTGGTATTAAATGGCTTGAACGCCGGGCCACGGTGGACAGAGCCCTTGGGGGCTGGGTGTCTGGTATTTTTGCCAGGCAGGAGCTGTCTCTCTGATCTGGTCATTGGGAAATTGACCGGCTCAGGTCAACCAATCAGTTGTGTGCCATTGCGATGGCGTCTGATGCTCCCCAAACACATTTCCTATGAGTAGTCTGGGGTATTGCCGGGGCTTTGATGACTCTAATCTGACTCTCAAAATTCCCAGTGGGATTCCTGTCTCCAAATACAGATTTCAGACTCTTCAAAACGTGAACTCTAGGTTCTATTTAACACGTGCAACCACTCTTCCACAAGCTTCCGCAAGCAAGCATCCCTCCGGGGCCCTCTGAGCGCCAGGCTCCCTTTTCTCTAACACAGTGTCTGAGCCAGTGAGTGCTGCCACCCTGCCAACACCCAACACATCTCGTGCTTACCAGCCAGAGCCCCACAGAGAGGAAGGAGGCTGTTTTGCAAAGGCCTTCAGAGGTAGAGTGGGCAGCTTCTCCCCTTCCACCAGAGTCTCGTGAAAACAGGTTTTAAAAATTTCATGGCATGATCAGTTTTGTCCCTCTGGGGACAAAATGACTCAGCCCTTGATTAAGCTGGAGACCGAACTGTTTGGCATGTTAGGGAACCATAGAAGACGACTGAAACCTAGATATTTAGAAAGAGCCAGTTTTCCATAGAGCTTATCCAGGTGTTTAAGATCATTTTTCCTCAGGCAGGACACTTTGAAGTCCACCTGCCACAGTCACCTGGGCCCTGATGTCTGAAAATGCAGAATCCTAGGCCTTGCCAGACCTCCTTAGACGGATCTCCAGGGAAGGGGCTCAGGAATCTGAGTTTTAAACAACGTCTCTTGGTGATTCTTGTGGATAGTAAAGTTCAGGAGCCAGTGGCTTCATTGCAGACGCTGTTGACCTTCCAGAAAGGTAGTGGGAGCCTCAGATATATCCAGGACTTCTCTCTCACCTGTGGTGCAAGTGCTCCAGAGGATACGAGCAGATGTGAGGAATTTCTGGCACCTGATAAAATAACCTCGTTGAAATCATAGGCAAATTAGTCGATGCTGAATTTGGGTAAATTCTAAACACGCACAGCCTGCGGTCCCCCCAAGGGTCACACTGCAGCCCTGCAAAGGCACCATCTACCTGCACCAAAGTATGTAAAAGGACAGCAACCAGGATCTGGACTCGGCCTGTTCTTTCCATCTTCTCTCAGAAAGAAGGGCATCCTGAAAAAGAAAACTAGCTTCACAAACATGAGGAGAGAGGTTTATTGCTCACGGTGGCAGAAGTCCGAGCTGAGTCCTAGAAGGAATGTACAGTTGGTGTGAGATGAGTCAAGGCAACTTCCCGTCCCCCACCAGCCAACTTCATGGTAGAAATAGGCAGGCTCTTAGGGAAGCATCTTTGGGAGGTCAGCGGACCATGAGACACACAAACCCCAAATGCTACAACACTTTTCCCTCAGTGGCTCCCAGGGCCCTGAAATCCCCTCTAAGAAGCAGCATAAAGAAAAGCTAGAGTTGCAGAGGGACTGCAAAAGCCAACACAGATGGGGTTGAAACCTACAAGTTCAGATCACGTAGGGCTAGAAACTGAGCCCCGGATGTGGGTTTAGGAATTTGAGAGCCTCTCCATTGAGGCTTTATTTTCCATCTTCTTCAATTGCTCTCACACCGAGCCCAGCTGTCTACCCAAGTTCGGGCCTTCAACATCAAGCCTTATTCTAGACTGACGTCAAGGAAGTTATCCCAGGCCCTTGACATAGACGCTGATCTGGACATTTCTAAGTGTTCTACCTGAGAAATCCACATTACCATGTTACGTTTGATAAATTACCAAATGAGGTAGATAATTCTCTTGGGAATAAAGGAGCTGGGGAGAATTTTATGGACTGTATATAAACATTTAGCTAAGGGTAATTCTAGCAGAGTTGGTTGACGCTGATGGCCAATGCAACGATTTTCTTCTCACTTCTCCTAGGGTTTTGATGCCTGTGTTCAAATAATAATGGAAATACCCAGCCGACTGGCATATCTGGGGTGTTGTCACCATGATGCCAATACAACTGGTTTTATTGTTTTTTTGGCAGACCTAAGGTTCAGTGTAATTTATGAAATGCATCTTTGCAAGACATGTGGCACTGTAGGTGACAGATCTTATTTTTTCACTAAAGAAGAGGTGAAAGGGATAGAGTTGCTTCTGGGAGTATAACTTGTTGCCTCCACAGAGGGAGCAAGAAGAGATGACAGTTATTCCTCCAACCTGACATGGATGAAAATGTATTTGTTTGTTTGAACTTGACTGTCAATTGACCTCATCCACTGGGCCGCTACGCCTCTGTTGCCCAAGGAGTGTTTGCGTGAAAGGGAGATGGTCAGACTCAATTGTGCTTACTTTCCTGGCTCTGTGCTTGTCCTCGACCTCATTGGTTCTTTTGATGTTGGGACAATGAAGGGTGAACAGCTGCCTGACGCTAGGAAAGAGCCACATTAAAGAAAGTCTGTTGTGCTTCAAACTTGAGTGGCCAGATGTGCTCTGAATCCGAGCAGTTCTGTTTCAGTAACACACAAAGTCCTGTCTGGGCAGTGATGTGCTGGGAGCTGTTTAGCAATGAGCTCTCAGTGGAGAAAAAGGCCCAATTTGTAGCCTTTACTGACTTTCTTGGTATAAATATGCCCATCACAGCTGACTTCAAGCTACCAAGCTTATGTCCCAGAACACAGAATTGGGAAGGGGTGTGTGTGCCATCGGCTCCTCCAAGCAGGTGTGAGCACACCTCCAGCTGCAACGGGAAGGTGGCAAGGCTTCAAAGGCTATGTCTGTCTCCATGCAAACTTAGAAACTAGACAAGAGTAGGCCAGGCTCAGTGATTCGTTTTCTAAATGAGGAGCTAAAGTTAATAAGACGCCATCTTTTCAAACATGCACACACTTCGTTTTTCAACACTGGGGCCACCTGGCAGTGAAAAGCTTCAGGTTCTTCCTGGTTGGTCCCTATTGAAACGGGTCCTCCCTTCTATGTTTCCAAAGTTAGGCTTTGCAGAGCAGGAAGGAGAGAATGAGCCCTTGTGCTCCCATCCTTTCCACCCTGGAGGAATCACACAGAGTGGAGGATAGAGAAAGAACTGCTCTTAGCATTCACACAATATTTGAAATGGTAAAAAAAATAAAAATAAAAAGATGGATGGGCAGAAAGCATTTCATTTAATTCAAGGTCCACTCACCTTGGTTTTTCTTAAATCAAGACGGGGGCTGCTCATGAATTGGCATATGTTTTAGAGTTACGGTTTTCAATAAAAATTTCACTCTCCCATCATGGGCACAGGGCACTTTCTGGATCACCTTGGGAAGCCTCTACTGTGTGTTGATGACTTACAGAAACTAGGATATTGAACCTTTAGGATAATGGAACCCAGTGCCTTAAAATCAAGACTAAAACCCTGCTCAGGTCAGTTCTTGTCCAATCACCTAAGAGAACGCGCTGGACAAGATGTGTGAGACAAGGTGAAACGCTTCCTGCAAATTCAGGTCACAAACCGGCGTGGGGGACCTGCCAGACACTGTCCTCCTGCCTCTCCTTTGCTCCAACAGTTATGACATGTGAATCAGAAGAAGGTGACTTCGGGTCAGACTTCAAAGAACATTATTACATGTAGTAATAACTGCTTATTTAAACCAGTTTCATGCTAAGATTGTCTACACACACAAATGTTAGCTTTGGGGCGGAGGGGGAGGGAAGAGAGGGATAAAAGTTGAATCCAATATAGCCATTTCTAAGACAACTTGTCAGCAAGAGTTGGGCAATACTAGTCGGCAAACATTTTCCCCTTGGACGTGGGGGCCCAAGGGTCCCAGCCGAGCACAAGTCAGTGAGTTCCAGCTGAACGATATTTGGGTTAAGGCAGCCACCACGACATGTGGAGAAGGGTGGCCATGCCAGATGTGGGGCTAAAGGGCCACTGCCAGCCTCACTCTCAGCGTGGCTGATGCCCCACGGGGGTCACCACTTTTCTTCAGCATGGAGCCCAGCGTCCAGGGCTTAGTGAGCAGGTGGACGCCATGCTTCCCCACCTGCCACCAGCACTGTGTGTCCTTGATCATGACCGGACGGGGTGTGACTCCTGGGGAGTCTCTGGTGACTCTAAGAGCTCAAAGGAGCTTCTCCAAGAGAAAAGCCAGCGCACAGCATGTTCCTTGGTCATCCTTTGGTGATAAACAGGGACAGTTCAACATCTGCCCTCGAGGAAGCAGGAAGCAGGCTTCGGAGCCCCTCCCCCGAAGCCAGGGAACCGGAATCCCTGGGCTCCCCGGATGGTGGCGGCCGGTGGAGTCCGCCCAGGCGCCCCAAGCCCTCCCGCCCCCTCTTCTCACCAGCCGTCTCATTCCAAGCTCTCCAGCAGCAGCAGCAGCGTCCTTCACTCAGAGGCCGGAAGAATGTTCTGGCTGTGGGAGTCCCCGGTGAGGCCGGAGGAGCGGAGGGAACGCCTGTGGAGGACCCTGTTCAGAATCTCCTTGCAGCTCTTGCGGTACTGGTGTCGCAGCAAGGAGTACACGAACGGGTCAGATGCGGCCTTGCTGTAGGCCAAGCACTTGGACAGCACCCCCCAGTGGGAGCTGATGGGCACCGCGGAGGACAGCTCCACCAGCCTGCGGACAGAGACGGGGAGGGCGTTCGTTACGAGAGCGCAGCTGGGCGCATCCCAGGCTCCAGCCTGAGCCCCTGACCCCAGCTTCCCGGCCACGCTTCAGTTTCTCTGAGGCTTCCTCCTCCCGCGACAAGGACAACAGCAATTTACAACCATAACTATGGTGGCCGTTCTCCTGGCGCTTCTTTTAGTCCAGGTACTGGGCTAAGGACGCACTTTACACGTGATTTCGTGGAACCCTGGGAGATTAGACATCTCCAGTTTACATGTGAGGAAATAGACGTCCAAGGAGGTTAAGTACTGATAGTTTGCCAGTGAACTGTAAAGGCAGGGATTTGAACCCAGGCACCCAAGCTGATCTAAGAATTGCACCAATAGCTAATTGCACCCTGGCCATTTGCTCCGGCTGTGCAGCTGACCTGCTGTGTGACCCTGGGCAAGTTGTTTCCCTTCTTGGGGCCTGGGTGTTTTCTACGAAAAAGGGGGAGTTGAATAAGGTCACGTCTATGATCACTGTAACTAGGACAGACTGATTCTTGGCTTCAGATCCTAGCTCCGCCGTCCACGGGAGCTTGCCTGGGAGGAAGGGCTGAGATTAATTTTGCAAATATTCATCAAAGCTCAAAGTATGTCTTGCATCAGGAAAGAATCTGCTGGTGGGAAAAGCTTCTTCCCAGGGTTGGGATTCTGGTGGCCCCTGGCTATAGCAGCAGTCAGGGTACCCTAAAGTGACCCTCATTCTTTGGAAGAAGGTGAGGGAAGAGGCAGCTCCTGTGTCAAAGGGGCACAGTTCTGAGAGTCCTCCAGGTATCCATCGAACAGCTCCATTCAGTGGTGCTAAGGCCAGGCTGTGAGGTAGTAAAAGCCCTCCTCTGTGTAAACAGAATTCTCCCAAATCAAGCCATTTATTCTTTTCTCCCAAGTGTGTCCAGCACCCCTGGCCATATTTAGATGTTACCCAGCATTAATATAAGGTAGAAAGGGCCACAGAGCTGAGAGAGAACTTAGAGATTATAAATTACCCACCCACTGTCAAATGAGGAAATGGAGGCCCAGACAGGGGAGGGACTTGCCCAACATCACCGAGCAAGTCAGTGGTAGAGGAAAATCCAGCCTCTGTGCTCAGACTGGGAGCTAGCACCTGTATTCTACCTGGCGGGGGGAGGGCATGGAGGTCAGCAAGATGGAAGGCAGCGGTGGCTCTCAGCTTGGAGGGCTGCCCAGGTGAGACCCCAGGTCCGGAGAGGACTGAGCTTGGGCTGTGACTCCGGGCTGCCAACTTCAGTGATTTTCCTGAAGGCTTCTTTGGGCTTCTTTGGGCTGAGGTTGTGAGGACGAGCCCAGGAGAGGAAGGAGGAGGAAACTGGTGGGATGAGATCCCCCACTGCAATGACCCCCTTTTCGAATAGATCCTTAATGAATCCATTCTGAGGCCCTTCTATTAGGCGTCCCATTTCCAGCACCACTATCCACTCTTGCCCACCGACGCCGAGGGGGTAATGCCACCATGGTTTTGCTCCTGTCCTTGGGAGCCCGAATGGGGAAATGGAGCTGTTGGCATTTGAGAAATCTGTACTTTTAAGAAATCTACTTTGGGAAGTGATGAATTTAAGGGAACAAACCCCCCCGAGTTTAGAATTCACACCTAATAATAACAACGAAACAGTTGAATACCAACGCATTGTTGCTATGGGATGCCAAATTGCTTTTCCAGAATGTCGTCTTCTATACATTGCTAGATTCGGTCTGAGCATTTTGGCTCTCCCAGGAGGATTTATTGAGTCAAATATCATCAAACCATCCAGCAAGATCAAAATGATTATTTGCAGGTTCTGCAGATTTCACAGAGTAAAACTATTTGGGACAATTTAAAATTTCACCATTTAGATAATTAAGAGGTAACATCTGTTGCATTTGCTTCTCAGAGATTTTATGTAAGATCTGAACTTGCCTGGCTCAGTAATAATAATTCCCAGTTAACTATCTCCTGTGGGCCAGATACGTGATGTGCACAATCTCTAACCTTACAATTATTCTCTGCAGAATGGGCATCGTTAGTCCAATTTTACAGATGAAGAAATCAAGGCTCAGAGAGATTGAGCAGCAAGCCGGCTTCTCCTCCACGGGGAAACCCAGTTCCATCGAACTGCAGCCCATGTTTTGTCTAGGTGCCACGATGGGATTCAAATCTCCACATTGCAGATGGGACAGGATGCGTTCTGAAGTCCCTTCCAACCCCAAGAATCCCCCTTCCATGAAGTGGTTATGGGCTACCCAGCACTTCTGTCACTTGCCCCGTCCACAGTGTACACGACTTCTGCTTTGAAAAGCCCGCATCTGGCCTCCATCAAGGCCTCCAGGCAAAGAGATGCTTTGGATCAGTCTGGGCCTGGGCACTGCTCCCGTGTGGCCCCCGGGCCAGGCTGAAGCTAGCATGCTCCCTTCTGCCACCAGATGTGGCTGGCCGACCCGCTTTTTTATTTTCCTGGGCACGTGGACCCCGCTGCCATGTGCCTGCTGTGGCCGGCTTTGCTCTGTTCCAGCTCTGACAGTTCCAAGTCCCCACTTGTTTAAGGGGACTGGGCAGGGGCAGGGACTTCCGTATTGCTACAACTGCTTCTTTCTAATGCTAGATCTGGGCAGGGAATGATCATCTGGGCCCCTCCAGATGACCTTTTAGAAAGGGAACACTGCAGCCCAACTTCTCATGCCAGAGCCAGCTCTGCTCATCTCCTCCAAACACCCTCCCCTCCAGGAAAGGGCCCTTATTATTCTGATCAGTCAGTTTCCACGGGAGCAGGGGCACCGTGTGCTGCTAGGTGCCTGCCATGCTCTGCCTCTTCTCTCTCTGCTACGAACCATGGTGGGTTATTGAACTCCCGTCTCCTGCCCCTGCCCCCAGCTCTGCCCCAAGAGCCCTGCGTTTAGGGGTTATTGGGCTCAGGTGTTAAGAAAGTGGGACTTTGTCTCCTTTCGCTATAGCTCCCTGCTGTAGGTTGAACTATGTCTCCCCAAATTCATGTGTTGGGGTCCTAACCCCCAGCACCTCAGAGTGTGATCTTATTTGGAAATAGGGTAGTTGCAGATGTAATTAGTTAAGGTGAGGTCCTAATGGAGAACGGTGGGCCCCTAACCCAATGCGACCGTGCCCTTACGAAAGGGGGGAGTTTGGACACAGATGCACGCCAAGAGAACGCCACAAAAGGATGACGGCAGAGATGGGGTGATGCTTCTAGAAGCCAAGGAACACTAAAGATTGCAAGTTCACCATCAGAAACTCAGGGGGAGGCCTGGAACACACTTTCCCTCACAGGCTCAGAAGGAACCACCCTGCCAACACCTTGATCTTGGACTTCCAGCCTCCAGAACTGAGGCCATACATTTCTATTGTTTAAGCCACTTAGTGGAAGCTAGTTACGGCGGCAGTGCTGGGAAACAGATCCACATCCGCTAAGGAACCCCGTGGGGATGCAGGGGGTTGTTAGGCAGGATCCGGTTGTTTGTGGGTCCCTGGTCGTAACACCAACATAGCACCAAGCCCCATGGAGTTCCTGGAGCCCGTGAACACTAAGGGTAGTCCCTGGGGTCTGCAGAGGTAGCAGCCCCCGGAGCAGGGCACTGCCCCCTCCCTGCCCTCCGGGAAGCAGAGTTTTTCCCCCGCAACCAGCACTCCCTGCCCCCTGCCCCCACCTTCCATTAAGCACCAAGGTGACTTTCCATGCACCGCCTGAGGTATGTGCTGGAAAAACCTCAGCCATCAGGCTCCGTTCAGGGGGAAACGTTTATGCTTCCGCGCTCACAGTGCACACATGCCTGCCCCGGACAGCCTGACACAGCTCCCCCGAGGATCCCCTGGGCTGAGAGGTCAGGCCGAGGGTTGATGGGGGGAGGACAAGGGCAGGGGAAGCCAGGGCAGGAGTCTGCTTTCTCAAGCATCTCAGGTGACTCTGACGCAGGTGGTTCAGAGACGCGCTGTGAGCACCTGGGGACGTCTGGTCAGAGCCTGGCTGGGGTGGGAGGTGTGAAATGCTGCGGGGTGTGGCCTGGGACCACATCGGAAGCAGAGCACAGAGATGGGTATTTTTCTGACTCAGGATGACACAGAACAGATACCCATCCTCTCCCGCCACCCCAAGTCCTATGTGTCTGCCCCACCTCTGCACCCCGTAGCCCTGTATTTGTTCGGGGGGACTCCTCCAAGGAGCCATGTCCTTTCTCTTAGCACAGGGCCCTCTGATCTGGGTCACGGGAAGTCTCTGTGCTGGTTGTCACAGCAGAGGGCTGACAGGCCAGGAAGCCGGCCCCCTGGCCCTTCACCCACAGTGACCTCTCACCCGCCCCTGCCGGCCTGACCCTCCTGGTCCTGGGAGGAAGATGGGGTACTCTTGCCAGAACTCTCAGGCATTCTCGGACCCCCCAGAGAAACCAAGGTCTCAATTCTGCTCGACAATAGACTCTCCAAAGAAACTAAATTCTGGGGATGAGAACAAGACCCGTAATACCAGTAGCCCCAGACCCAGCTCCTCCTCTGTGTCCCCAGAGGCTCAGGGCTTTGGCAGCCGCTTGACATTGTCTCAAGCACCTCCCACCCGCCCCCTTCGACGGTGTTGCTTGTGCTTCACACTACAGAGGAGGAACCCAGGCAAAGTGACGGGCCAAGGCCACATGGCCTGGACGTAGAAGAGCCAGGATTTGAACCCTGGACTGTGGGCACCAGAGACCACAGGCCCTCCTGGTGCCAGGCTGCCCCTCCCAGCTCCTTGACTCGGTTCCAGGGGGCAGTCAAGGCCTTTACTGTCAACCCTTGAATTTAAAGAGATAAATCCACACCCCCTCTTTACACCTCCTGTGCGTCCATCATCTCTCCCCGCTGCCACACACACACACGCACACGCACACGCACACACGCACACACACAGATGCTGTGCACCAAATGCAACGTGGGCCACAGAATAGCTTTTGGGAAGCAAGCCCAATGTCTTCCCAAGAAGACTTCTGGAGAATCCGGTCTGCATATTTGAAGAGCTATAAGTAATAAGCTGGAGTTTTAAATGTTCATGAGACATTAGCAGGGAAAAGGTATTTTATTAATAGAATATTAACACGAGACAGCCACCTGCATATTAAACCTCGCTGACATAATTCTGTGACTCGAAAAAGCCACAATAATGGTGCTGTCTGATCCACAAATGCCTCAAAGCCCCACTCCGACGATCTGGAACAACCGTAATTATTTGTAAGCCTGAACTGCTGCAGAGATAATAGCTTCACACATGCTTCTAGACGTGTACGTTTTAATTCAGAAAAACGTAATTAGAGCTTTTGGAGGCGAATGTCTTGCAAGTCCTCAGACCATGCTCAGACACTCTGGAAAGAGCCCGATGTGACCCGCTAGGGCTTTGAGGACCTGGGAACCGGTGTGAGTGTGTGAACAGAAGGTAGTGACTCCTATTAAGAGCGAGGGTGGAGGTTGCCAAAGTGTCCCTCCGTCATCTGACGGGCCACAAAGTGCAGGTGCCAGGGGCTCTTCGGCTGGTTGGTGCAGTTGGGGGACTGTCTTTCTGGGAGGTGTTGGCGTCACGGTCAGCGTTAGTCCACCGAGTCTGACGATGGCTCTGAGCCCCACTCCAGGTGCACACAAGTTGCTGTCAGCCAGGTGGGAGGTCAGAGGTGACTCCACGCGAACCCACCGCTGCTTCTGGTGAAACAACTCACTCACCTACCTGCCTTTACCCCCAGGAGGCTGGATACTATGTCTGGGTTCCTGCCAAGATGGCTGGGAATAGGAAGTTGGATCAAAAGCCTGCAGATAAGCATTTCTACATTTTCAGTGCCAGGTCCCCAGGCTTCGGAGATGTAACATGCCCACAGGGCTAAATTATTGCCAACAGACCTGGCACTGACCTTTAACCCTTGCTTCTGCCAGTTACTACTCCTGTGGCCTTGGGCCACTCATCTCACCTCGCTGACCCTCAGTAAGATGAGGACTCTAGCACTCGCCTTGCAGGACAGCTGTACTAGGCACAATCAGGTGTGTACTGGTACCTCCTGGGTACATTACAAGTGTCGAATGAGTGATAGGTATGGTTATAAAGACTCCACGTTCTCCAGTAAGGGAAGCCTGAGAATCTACTGGAAGACTTGAATGGTTCTTGACCCGAGAATGCTGCTTCCCAGTCTGAGAAAGTTATCAGGCAGATGTGAATAGACTGGGAATAAAGAGAAGGGCCCTCCTCCCTGCCAGCCGGACCTTCCTGATCAACTTAGAGGGACGGCAGGTGTCACAGCACAAGCCCCTTCTCTCTCTCAATGTTCTGATTCTGCCAGCTCCCAGCATTCCCCACGGTTGGCCTGACGTGAGCCCACATGCTTGTGCACGTCTCCACCTATAAGGCTCCAATGGGGGGAGTAGCAAGGCGGGCTGCTTTGATAGAGGTTGTCCCTGGGGAGCCTCGGGAAATAGCGGTTTCTGCACTGACAGCTCAGTGAGGGGTTTAAGTGACACCTGAACACCTTGACCTTATCATCTCAGAAGCTGCAGCTTCCTGGTTCTGAGGGGGTCATGGCACAAAGTGCCCTCCTATATCCTCTGGGAGGGAACCCCCATGCCCTCAGAGAAGCAGAACAGTGCAGGGCAAGGGGCCCCACGCGTGGGCTTTGCCCCAGGCAGTGGATCCCAGGTGGCCTGCAATCAGCTCGCCCTCCCGGGATGAGACACTGCTAAGGAAACTTCCACTTCCATAACCCACAGCTCTAGGTTCTCCACAAGGAATCAATTCCTCCAAGACGTTAAATTCTCAACTACATTTCCAGAGCAGAGTCTGATTTCAGCTTCTTCTGAGACTGGGGTGATTTTGTCTGCACTCGGAAACCAGCTTGAGAACAGCAGGAGAATCAGCTGCTGCCCAGAGTGTGCACGGTCCCGACTCCAGTGCTGGCGACAGTAGAATATACCAGGGTGAATGCCTTGCGTGGGTTGTTTTATGGGTTCCTTACTAGATGCTGATTTCCCCCTACAATCACTGTGTGCTTCTCAGCACGGACTCAGCGTAAGATGGGCAAGTTTGCGTCAGGCTCCTTGGAGGTGGGTGTCAGAGCAAATCCTGCCTCACCCCAACCCCAGCCCACCCTGTTTGGCAGTTTTGCTGCCCTGGTGGTGGAAGTGTAGCTCTGGTGTGATCCTGGCCGTGCCCAGCACACACCTGGAGCCCAGGGGGCTTCCCTGCATGCAAAGAGCAAGTTCACAGGTGTCCATCTCCCTGGGGTGTGCCTGGGGGCCCAGCTGCCACAGAGACTAGGCACCTCATCAGAACCTCTTCTCCCCGCGGTCATGGCAGGGGGGGTATGGGGGTGTGGACAGAGGGAGGTAGTCCCAGAGGGGTGTGATTTCTTAAGCACAAGGACCTTCTGCCGCAACACTGTCACCCAGCGTTGGGACCTGATGTCCCCTCATTCAGACCCTCCGAGGACACCTGCCTCAATGCACCTGACCCCACAGAGGAAGACACTGATTTGGCCACTGCTTAGAAACTCCAACATTGAGCAGGGCGCTGGACAGGGGAGGAGGGAGGGAGGGACTTCTGAGCACTCTTGCAGCGCGGCCGGAAGGGCGATCCTGGGAACCAATGGGTTCCTGGTCAGAAAAGGATGATACGGGCAGCTAGAGGTCAAGGGAAAAAAGGAGCTGGGAGCAAGGGCATTGGCACACCTAGACCCCAGATTCCCTGACTACAGGCCAGCCCTGCCCAACAGAAAGAGAAGGTGAGCCACAGGTGGGAAAAGAAACCGTGAAATTAATTTTAATTACAAATCTTATTTAACCCAATATATCCAAGATTTCACCATTTCACTATGGAATCAATATAAAAAGTTTTAATTTTATATATATATATATATATATACAGTCTTGCTAAGCCTTGGAAACCCAGTGTGCATGTTACACCTACAGCACATCTCAGGTTGGACAAGCCTTGTTCAAGTGCTTCAAAGGGACCTGTGGCTGGTGGCTCCCGTGCAGGGCTCTAGACCTGGCTCATGCTGTCCCTTCTGCTGGGATTGTCCCCCTGCAGAGCCAAGCCCACTTCACTCGCTCCTGCCTCAGAAGCCTGGGACGCTTCCCTATCAGATGCTATGACATGGTATTCGGCGTCCTGGCTGGACGTGGCGGGCCTAGACCAGGGGCTCTCACTCGGGGGTGATTCTGGTCCCCAGGTTGACTAGATTTTCTAGTTGTCAAAACTGGGGAGCAGGAGGGAAGAGGTGCTGCTGGCGGGTAGTGGGTAGACGACAGAGATGCTGCTAACATCCTACGACACACAGGATGGTCTCCCATGGAGAAATGTCAGGAGCGCTGAGGTCTAGCGGGCAGTTCTAGAAGGAAGAATTGATGGCTCTGCTCTGCCTGGGGCAGACCCATGAAGAGACCTGCGGACAGTCCTATGTCCTATGTTTAAAGTGAAATGCAGGCCCCCTGGCTTTCCCCCAGAGAGAGTGGCATGCACAGAAAAGACAGTGACAGACACTCTGGGGTTGTGGTGTCTGGGGAATGGGGGCTGCTCTGGGGAACCCCAGCTCACTGTCTGCAAATTGGCAGGGCCTCTGTTAGTAGAGGACAGACATTCTCCTGGGCTGCAGAAAGCAGCTATGGGGGGCCAGGCTTCAGCTCAGTATGAGTAGGGACAGGGAAAGACAGGGGGACCTGGGCACATTGAGCCCCTCCTCTCCAGAGCGCGACTCTGGGGGACGCTGAGGCAGGGCGTCCCTTCCATGTCCCTGCCAACTGAGGATGCCGGGGGATGCAAGGGGATGGGCCGTGCGCTCTCTTTTCCATACAGAGGCACGTGCATGCACACAAAACCCTGCACAGATCCTACTTCCCAGGCTTCACGTCCACCTCCTAATAGAACATCAAAGTCCTTTTTATTGTCACCTTCCCAAACAGCTAAGCCATTCTGGATACTAATTTGTGTGGGTATTTTCCCCTCCAGTGAGCAAAACTGAGTGGGTGATACTTTTTTTTTTTTTTTTTTTTTTTTCTGGGTTTCACGGTTGGGGGAAATTCTGTAGCTGGAGCAGGTTGGCTTCTGGAACGTACAGCCCTGAGGCCAGCACACTGCAACCTTGGCCGGCATGGGGGGTTGGGATTGGGAGAGAACGTGACAAGCTCACACTGCCTGAACTAACAGGGGCAGATCCCTGGAGCCGTGGGACAGGTGGGCCCATGCAGCATGCTCCCTGGTCCCTATGCAGGTGGCACGTGGCACTGGCTCTGCAGGGTGTCCGGGCTGAGGATGCCGAGTTGGGCTTTCCTGCACTCAGTGGGCAGTAAGAACCCAGTCCCTGCAGGGTGCTATCCCCTCTCTTTCCTCTCCTGTCGTCTCCTTTCGGGTCTCCTGCGGTTGGGGACTGAGGGTTAGAATGATGTGATTTGGAGATCAAGTGGGAGAGAGTCTCACTGCCTTTCGGTCCGGAGTCTAATCCAAAAGAATCTGAGGCTGAAGAGAAAAAGTGTGTGCCCTTCTCACTAAACCTGTCAAGTTCACTCTCATCCCCTGATCCAGCCTCTGGAAGACATGTGGCCAAGCAAGGCTGGCCATGGCAAAAGGCCACGCAGGCCCTGCTTCGCTCTCCAGAGCCCCGTGCCCGCCCCACTTGCCGCAAGCCCGTGTCCCACTCGCCAAGCTCACCTGGTGATCACGTAGGGTGCGAAGCACACGAGGAAGGTGCCTATGAAGGTGCTGATTTTCTTGGTGGCGCGTTGCCGCCGCCTCCTCTGCTCCTCTAGACAGCGTTCCCGCACACTGCGTGTGAGAGAGGAAAAAGTGGAGTCATGGTCACGTGAGTCATGGGGGGCGCCTGCCAGGTCACAGCGAGTTACTATTTGTACATGCAGGCAGTGGCCGCGAGTGTAGGAACTTAACCATGGAGCCAGAAAGACCTGAGCTCAAGTCTGAGCTGTAGGCACGTGACCTTGGGCACCTTGTGTGACATCACTAAGCCTCTGTAAAATGTGGATACTAATATAATACGACGCCGCAAAGGGCTGCTTTGAGAATTAGATGCGTGAAGCAGCTGAAGCGATTAGCACAGGACCCAAGCAAGTGCAAATATAAACTCATTATTAGTACTCATAGCCTTCTCTTATCTCGTGCTATGGGCCAGCCCGAGTCCACACTCCCTAAGTAATATCTAATTCTTATCTCACCACAGTTGAACCTGCCAGGTGGATTTTACCTGCCCTGTTTTACAATGAAGACCATGAGTACAGTGAGGCCAAATGATTTGCTCAGCTGGTAAGTGGAGGCGGGACTTGAACCCGTGTCCATGTGACTGAAAGCTGGTCCTCTCCAGCTGGGATGGCCTGGACTCTGTGTGCAGTGTGGCCCAGGGCTTCCTTTCCTCCACACCTTCAGCCCTGTTTCTTCCATCCCAAAGCCTCAGCCCTGCCCGGAGCTACAGGTAACGCATTATGAGGTGACTGAAGGAGAAGTCACATGATTTGTTCATAGACAAGGCTCGGTGAAGCCATGGGATGGCCAGGTCCCTGGAGAATCGGGGCCACAGCTCCACGGATGGCCACCTACGCCTCTAACCACACCCTGCTCCTGACTCCACTCTGCTCCGGCCTTTCGAGACCTGACATCTCACGCCACCTGGGAGCAGTGGTTCTTGCAACCCTTTTCCTGCAGCCATGGGGAAATGCAGAAGCAACAGCCAGTCTGTCCATTTCCACGGCCAAGGCGCACGCACGTAAAGACGATCCCAGCTGTAAGGATTCACATGTGCCAGACCATGGGGCCCAACGTGGGCATGTGTTCCTACTGTTTACTTTTCAAATAAATCACATGATTCCAAAACTGGATGGGGAGGAGGACTGTGGACAGAGTTGCCCAGGAGTGACGATAACTTGGCAGAGACAGGCTTGGGCTGCAGTGACCTGGCACCGCAATTAGGTCAGTCTGTTCAACAGAAGCCAGGTCTGTGAGCAGCACGAACGCCAGGGCAGCCTCCCCTTCCTTCCACAAGAACCGTCGTTTTCATACTTAATCGAGACTCTTCTTTATCCGATTCCTGATCACAGAGGGACAATGCTATGTGAGTTTGGACTGAAGCCCCCTGAAATTCTTGCAGGAAGTTTTCTTCCCTTGACTTGTGTCTTTTCAGGAACTTAGACAGTTGGGAACTGGAGTCTGGCCCAGTAAAGACAGATTTCATACTGGCTGAAATGGTCTTACTCATGACTAACATTATGAATTAATTTCTAATAGCTAATATTAATAACTCACATTTCTTGAGTCTTTAATATGTGTCATCTTAGATACTGTGATGGGGGTTCATATGCATTTGTTGCTTGATACTCACATCTCTATAAGCAAAGGACTGATACAATTGTAATCTTCATGTTTTCAGATAAGGAGGGAGATTGAGGCACAGAGGGGTTAAGCAACTGGCTCAGGGTCACACAGTGATCTGGAGGGGTGGCAGTAGGGTGACCAGCTTGTCCCGGATAACCAGCACTGTCCCAGTTTTGGCACTAAACGTCCTGCCGCCTGGATGGTTTACACAGGACCGTCCTGGTTTTAGAAACAGAAGGGCCTGCGTCTGAGGATCCCCCCTCCATCTCGGGCAGCCCAGGATGGCTGGTCTCCCTAAGTGATGGCAGTAGCTGAACCCAGGCCATCTGACTCTGGAGCCTTGAGTGTCATCTGTCAATTCACTGGGGTCATCACACATCCCTGGGGAGGCCCTGGGGCATCACCTCATTCAGAAAATCTGAAAAATACAAGTCGAGGGGCGGGGACAGAGGGGCGACTTTGCCTGAAGCCACACAGCGAGACTCAGTCTGAAGTCTCCTCCCTTTCCATTTGCATCGGGTGTCTGCAGTGTCCTCTCCCAAAGTCCTGTGGCTCTTGTGACATACGCACAACACAGGTGGCGTGGAGAGAAGGCTTAGGTCCCCACCCTGGAGGTCTGTGTTCAGTGAGGTGCCCAACTCATCTTGGTTTGCCTGAAACGGTTTTGGTTTTCAAACTCCAAGTCCCACATCCTGGGAGCCCTTGCAGTCCCAGGCAAATCGGGACACTGGTCAACCTAGCAGTGTGTCTGGCACATTCTCCATGACACAGGACTGCTTGTTTAATATGAAAATACTTCCCCCCAAACTCTCAGTAATCGATGTAGGAGTTGCTGGAGATTTGGGGCGTGAGCTGGGTGTCCTGAGGCATCACAGTACACTCACCCCACGAGAGGAGTACAGCATTCTGGGCATCTCCTCGAAAATGAGCACCAAAGTCATCGTAAATGAATGAAGGGAACACGAGAGAAACCGGTGGTGCTCTGGGGCCGGGCCCTCCTCCAGTCTGTGGCCCTGACCATGTTATCCATTTCCCAGACATTTAGAATAACCCTGAGGACTGAACAAGTGCTGGCTATGTGTCCTAGTCCCAGCTGTGCCCTCATAGCTGTGTGGCCTCAAGAAAGCCACTCAACCTCTCTGAATTTGGTTCTTCACTTATCTGTGGAAGATTTCATAGTGATGACTTACAACTAGAGCTACCATTTATCAGGGACTGAAGTGCCTCACCAGCTACCAAGGTCTTAAGGAGTGAGGAGCTTCCCCTGCCCTCCCCGGCCCCTGCCCTCAAGGAGGGACTTGGGTTCCTGCTGAGGGTCTGAGGACTCAGCTGTCTCCCCAGGAGAAGCAGCCCTCCACCCTGCCACACCAGACAATCCTGCCCCAAAGCCCTGAGGAATATTTAAAGACAGATGTTGGTTAAAGCTTTGAAGGTCTTCGGAAGGATACACAGAAACATTTCAGTGACCCTACAGGAATAAAACGGCCACTTTAGAGGCTAGAATAACCAATGTCACTCTTCTATGCTGTAAAATCCTACAGGAAATTAATTTTATTTGTTCCTGCAAAGCTTTGTACAGGAGAGAAGGATAAAATAGCAAGCACTCTGCACACACATTCCTTCCTTGGGTCCCCACAGTACAAAGCTCAACACCTTACACCCAGAAAACACCTAATGAGTGTATGTCTTTGAATTACTGAACAACCCTTAAAAGCATCTTAGGAAAATTAAGACTCAATCATTTTTAAGTGACCTTCTCAAAAGAGATGATAGTAGAAATCTGCTCTAGAATAGATTTTTTAAAGTGAGACTTTAAAAATCTTGAGCTTTTCAGACAAAGCAAGACTCGTCAGTGGCTGTCAGGCCATGCACACTTCCATGAACCCTGTCTGCTTGACAGGGAAGCGGTAAGCATGTGAGCAGTGCCAGAGCCAGACCTCTGGGTTCAAATCCAGGCCTCCCCACTTACTTGTCGTGTGGCCTCAGGCAAGTTACCCAGCCTCTCTGTGCGTCAGCTTCCCCACCTCTAAAATGAGGATCATACGGGTACCTATCTGGTAGGGTTCTGTTGAGATTAACTGAGTCAACACCCATAAAGTACCTAGGACAGTGCTGACTCAGAGTAAGCACTTAAGTGCAGATGCTAATTATTATTCATTCAGCATATATTTATAAAACAACGACTATGTGCCAGCACTACCTTGAACCCCCAAACCACTGGGATCCCTCCCGCGGCAAAAATTCTCTTGCTGCATTTACAAGGGTAGCTGGGAGAGAGAGAGAGAGAGAGAGAGAGAGGGAGGGAGAGAGAGAGAGAGGGAGAGAGAGGGAGGGAGAGAGAGAGAGAGAGAGAGAGGGAGGGAGAGAGAGAGGGAGGGAGAGGGAAGGAGAGAGAGAGAGAGCGCTGCGACCAGGAACTGTGCCAGACAGGTCTGAGCTTGCGTCTGGGCTCTCGTGCTGGTTCTGTGACCCTCTCTGGGTCTCCAGGGCGCGACGGATGCTATTCCGTAGTTTCAGTGGCACCTGGCGCGCTGTGGGAGCACAGCGGGTGTGTGGGATGGGTGCTGCGCCCGGCTAGCATCCACGCGGGCCTGGTCATGTGTCTGCTCTGGGGCGGGCTGGCTAGGCTCTACAGTCCTGTGTAGTATGAAAGATGCTCTCACCCACCCAACCCAGCTCACAGATGGGGAAACTGAGGCTCAAAGAAGACAGGGACTTGCCCACCTGGAGAGTGGGCTGCAGGCAGGGCCAGCACCAGTTCCTGACACCCAGTCTGGAACCACGTGGCTGCATCCCTGAACTCCTGCAAAGGAAGAGAATGGACCCGACTTCTGTGCCCAGTGCCCCCCACCCCCGTGTCCAGGTGAGACCAGGGAGGCGGCAGCAAGAGGACAGCAGGGCTCCCAGGCTCCGAGGGGAGCAGCGCAGCTCTCTGGCTTATCGTTAGTATTGTTTAAGCCCAGTATGAGAGCAGCTCACCAGCTCCGAAAACAACAACATAATAAAATCACTTTGCACTTGCTGTCATTTATTTCCCGCCGTAGCTTTGCAAAACTGAGCGCCTTGAACTCTCGCAGCCCTGTAAGCAGTCATTGTACGTACTTGCAGAAGAGGACACAGAGAGCCAGAAAGGTTTATGCCGTGCCCAGGGTTGCAAAGTAAGTTCAAGACAGACCAGGACTCCTTCCAGGTCTCCTTCCACCAAAATCTGGGGTGTCCCCCCATTGGGTCACTGAGCCATGGGCACGCTGTGTCTAGCTACGCTAACGCCCAGATATTCCCGGGCCTGATGGTGGCAGCTGGAGTCCTTGGACTCCCCAGCAGAATCTGCAGTGCAGAGGGTGAGAGGCCCAAAACTCTCCTGCCCGGGTTCGTTTGCTCAGAGTGCAAGCACTGTACCAGTGTGGGCCGACCCCAGGGCCGAGACGAGACACAGAGTTTCCTTGAGCCAAAAGGAGATGAGCCCTCCAGCACTGTGGCATGTAGGGTCAAAGACATGTTCCCCAGGAGGCTTCCGTAATAGAGCAGAGGGACGGATGATACTGGGAATATCTGAAAAGTCAGTAAATGAGGCGATTGTGGCTACAAGACGGTGGGTCTGGGTCCTGACTGACCTCCAGAGGACGGTAGCCAGTCGACAGCCACGCTCTCGAGTACGCAGGGAGACATCCAGATTTGCTTTCTGGCGTTTTGGAGAATGAAACAAAAGACAAAGGAACGAGCTGACCGATTGGTGGCAAAGAGCCTTGAGTTTGGGGTTAGGACTGATGTGAGCAGTCTTGCCCTCGACCTGGCCAGAGGGGCCCTGTCCTGGGCCCTGGTTACTGAGGGACCCACACCTCCCCACGAAATGAAGACTTCACAGGGCCAAGGGGATGTGCCCACCCAGAACCCACATCCTCCATTCTAGACCAAGCTCTAGGTACGTGGGACATGGAATTCTTTGCCCAAATGCCCTGATCCTGCTTCCAGAAAGTGCACAGGCATCTTCCCTGGGCCCGTCCTCCTGAGGGAGGGCTGCGCCACCCGCGTGCTTGGCTTGAGGCCGGAGGGGAGACATCCGTGATTGACATGTGGAGGCATAGCCTGCAGTGTCCACTTTGTGTGAGGAGGCCCCCTTCCATGCTGGGGTGTCGGGGCGGGGGGGTGAGGTGGGCTGTGGCGTGGGGCCAGCTCAGCTCCCCTGCCACGTACAAGGCTGCACTCCAAGGAACCCGAGAACTCCAAATTTGAACCCAGCCCTGCCAAGTGTTATAAATGTATATTTCTCAAAGTAGGAGGATAGAACATATTTCGTTTAACAGTTTGTAAGCTGAATTTGGAAATCCTAACTATTCGTGTGGATGGTTTGTGAAACTCCATTGGCACTATCGCCTCATCCGTAAGCCTTAGGAGCAGACCTAGGTGTGAGTCTTGGGTGAAGCCACAGTCCAGATCTATCAAATACGGCAAGTGTCCCCCTTCCTTGGGGCTCCCAACTTCCTCATCTGCAAAGTCAAGGGCACAGTGAGAACCCCTCCATCTACTGTGGCACAATTCTGACACCCTCCGGCTCGGCACTCAGCCAGCCCCCCGTAGCCCTTGATCACAAGAATGAGCATGCTTCGTCAACAGTCTAGTCTGAAGCCATTAACCTGTGCTGGTGAGTGGCGCCGTCAGCTGGACGGGGAGAGAAGGGCTGCAGCACCAACGTCCGGGCTCCCCTTCTATGTCTCTGGTGGCACCAGGGAGAGGATCTGGTTATAATTGGTCTGGAGTTGTGGTTTGGGAGAACTGAACCAAGCACACTGAGCGGTTGGAGACCAGGTGGGTTCCCAGTTCCTTTATGATTGTAGTAACTCGAGAAACCACCCCAGAAAGGCAGGAGTGGGCGATGTCTCTCAGGGTCCCTGATTTAATTTAGAGCAGAGGGTCCCTGACCTTTTGTGGGGGGTGTGTGTGTGTCGCTCACTGCATTTAACCCTCTGCAGGAGGAAGCTGGCATCACTAGGGAGCTTCTTGACAAATGCCAGCCTGGGCCTCAGGGAACTCAAAATTAAGTCCCAGGAGGCCATCAGTGTGGTGGCTGTTAAGTGAATCTCCCAGTGAGCAAAGTCACCTCCACCTGCCACCCTGGCTGCCCGGATAAGGAAGCCTGGCTTCTGCTGATCTGGGACTGGACCCCCACCCCCCTGCCCCCCAGCTCCCAGCACCAACTGGCCAGGAAATTTCCTGAAGCCTTAGTGACTAAGGCTCGTGGGACCTAGGGGCAGCCCCCCCGAGTTAGCTCTGCAGTTTCTCATTTGTGGGAAGGAAGAGTTTGGAGACGCCAAGAAAGAAGTCTGTGAATCCACTGTCAGGGAGCTGGTGCCCTCCCGCGTGGCCCACCACCCAGGCTCTCACTCTGGGAACTGACTCCACAGAGAAAGGCAGGCTGTGGTCACTGATGGGGCAGTGCTGTCCCACCTGCCCACTATTGCATAACCTCAGGCCAGCCCTCAGCCAGCGGGGCCTGTCTGAACCGGCCGAGGGCAATCCTCCCACCGGAAGCCCTTCCTTTCCCCAGCGTAGGCCGGCATTGCTCCTTGGCCCTGCAGGGCCCTGTCCGTGGCTCTGGGAAGAGGGTCTCCTCAGAGCCTCCTGGGCTCAAAAGCAGTCAAATTTCCCCGGAGGGAAGTGGAGGAGAGAAGAGAGGACCGGAGGGCAGCCGAGCAACCGCCTCTTTTCCTGACACCCCCGGGAGCTCTCTCTGCAGTGTCTGGCCTGGAGTCCGTGAGAGACCGGCAGGATTGGAGCCGACCCTACATCCTAAATGGGCTGAAAAGGAGCCACCGCCCTCCTGTTCTGGAAGTTGGAGGGAGAGCGGGGACGGGGTTTATACTGGTCTAGATAAGAACTGATTCCTTTCCAATCTCATTCCCTCCTCCGCTGTTAGACTCATGGAAAGTGGGCTTACTGCAGAAATTGTCCAAGTTCCGAGAGTTCAACAACATTGCCTACAGCTTCTAGAGCAGTCCCCGTGCACGTCCTAGGGATGACGCACCTTCTAAAGTCAGGTCCTCCCACCCCAAGGTGCTAGGAAGGGGAATAGCTCTGTGATCCTTAAATGACATTGAACCATGCATGGCCACATGCAGTGAGTCCGTGCATGCCTTTGTGGCAGTGTGCAGGAGGGCCACACCTGTGACATGGAATGATGTGTTACCCATGCAGTTGATATATGAACACATAGGACTGTGTGTGTGAGGCTCACACAATTTCACACATGGTTCATATGCCCTGGTGTCATTTACATGTACATATTGTACATGGTTCTGGGAGGAAGGTTCTGTGACTAGAAGCTTTGGTCCAGCATGTAATCTGGAAGGGCCATCCTGAGGGGAACAATGGACACACGGGAACACACGGGAACACACACATGGGAACACATGGGAACATGTCCTGTGTTCAGACGCAGTGACGTTCAAGGTCTTCTCTTTGTATTGCTCGTGGGCAGAAAAACCCCAGAACTGAAGGAGCTCTTGGTCACACTGACCCTCTGGTCTGTCCCCCTCAGCCACAAGCTTCTCCCTGGCCGGGGAGGCATCCGCACGACAGGAGCCGAGCTCCCTCCCTGCCGCTGGCCTCCTCCACACTGATACATTCTGCCTGCCTCACTTTTCACGCCATCTTGACACCAAAGCCCCCCTTCTAGCGTCTGGGGCACCAGGATATAAAACAGCAGAGTCTACTGCAGGGGCACCAGCAGCCATTCCCCTCTTCTCTGGGGGAAAGCCAAGGTGAGCTCAGGACACCTCAGCTAAGAGTTTCCCCCTTCTCTCCCCAGAGCCTCCAAAGGATGGCAGGACTTCCCAAGGGCAGGGGCAGGGGCAGGGGCGGGGGGGTACGTGAACCTGAACTGCCCGCCCCGAGCTGCCCTCCTGAGAAACAGAGGCCAGGTGAACGTGGAAGGTGGGCAGGTTTTGTCACCGGAGCCTCAGGATGACGGTCTCCCTCTGCAGGGGTTTCCAGGCTTCAAGTCCAGGAGACACGGGACAGTGCTGTCTGGGAAGGTAGGAAGAGCACCCCCGTCCCCTCAAAGCCCTTCAGATGCTCCTTTAAGGACCCACAGAGGAAGATGCAGCCCGAGGACTCACACACACAGGACGAGACAGAGGCAGCGCCAGACGCCAGAGAAAGGAAAGAGCCGCAGAGCAGCACGTTCCCGTGTGAAGAGCTCTTCAGGAGCGCCCTAAGCATCCGGGCCACGCTCTCAGGGCCTGACTAGAACCATTTAGAGCAGTGAGCAGAGATTGCTGCCTTTTCTATGCTACTTAAAGTGAAAACTACAAGCACAAAATAAGCATAAAGTCCAGCAAAGTTCGGCTCCTCTGTGGTCTCTACCCTAATGCTTCAAAAATGTACCTATTTGTTTCACCCACGATTTTTGGTGGTCCTGCTTTGCTGATGCTCTAAGCACCTGCCTTGAGACAGGCAACGGTGGCCCTTCCCCCCGACCTCAGTTCTCCAAAAAGGAAATGGAGGCTCGGTGTTAAAGGGGCTTGCCCAAAGCCACACAGTAGAGCGTGGGGGAGACGAGGACCCCCTTCCTCCCACAAAGACACGCCTCTCCCACCGAGTCCGCGCAGCCCTTCCCAGAGCCCTCACCTGGGGTGGATGTCCACGAGCAGCACGAGCGTCTGCATGGTGATCACGTCGATGCGTCTGCAGTGGAAGCGGGCCACCTTGAGCACCTTGAAGTATGTGCAGCAGAGCACAACGAAGGAGAGCAGGAAGCTGAGCGCATGGAAGGCACCCGTGAAGACGGCGAAGCGCAACCGCTCGTCTGGCCTCCGGCTGCACAGCGTGCAGGACGCGTACAGCTGGTGGAAGCCCAGCCAGGACAGGACGACCGCGGCGGCGGGGAAGGCGAGCGCGTGCAGCCACGTGTAGGCCACCATGAGCGCGGCGTCGCGGAGGCGCATCTTGGCGCGGTAGCTCAGCGGGAAGACCACGGCCACCCAGCGGTCGATGCTGAGCGCGGCCATGCTGAGCATAGAGTTGGCAGCCAGGAAGGTGTCGAGGAAGGCGGCCAGGCGGCACAGGCGGTCACCGGCCGGCTGCCGCTGCGCCACGACGCCGGCCAGCGTGAGCGGCATGTTGACCACGGTGCACAGCAGGTTGCCGCACGTGAGGTTCAGGGTGAAGAGCGCCGGCGCCTGGCGGCGGATGTCGGCGCTGTGCAGGAGGCAGAGCAGTACCAGCGCGTTGGACAGCAGCGAGACGCCCATCGTACCCACCAGCAGACCCGCCAGGCCCGCGTCCCACGAGTTCATGGTGCGCGCCCGCCGCCGGCCCTCAGGGCCCGCACCCCGGCGCCGCCATGGCGCCGCCCGCTCAGCCCCTCGGCGCCGCCGCCGCCCCGCGCCCCCCAGTCCCCGCCGCCATGGCCCCCCGGGGGGCGCGCGGCCACCCCGGAGCCCCGCGCCACCTCCCGGGCCGGCACCTGCGCGCTCGGCTGAGCCCTGGCGCCCGCGCCACCTCCCGTGCAAGCGCTGGTGCGTCGCCGAACCGAGAGCTTAGAGAGCCCTGGGATCCCGGATTGCGGGCGGGCGCCTGCTGCCCGGCTCCGCCTCTGCTCCCCCTGCCCTCGCCCCTTCCCTCCGCGCTCCGGCTCCGCTCCGCGCCCTCTCCGACAGCCGTGCTTTCTCCTCCTCCCCTCTCTCTGCTCGCTCTCCCTTTCTGCTCTCCCCTACACTTTCCCTCTCCCCCTCTCCCTCCCTCCCTCTGTCTCCCCTCTGCGGCGCTTCTCTCTCTCCCACTGCTGTTCTATCCGTCTGTCTCTCCCACTCTCAATCTTCTCCTCTTCTCTCTCTCCCTCCAGAATCTGGCTGCTTCTATCACAGAATTCCCGCTGATGCGCGCGGGTGCGCGCACAACACACACTCGGAAAGAACCAGCCCTGAAGCCTCCGGTGCAGGGTGATTGGCTCTTTGTAGCTTCCTGTCCCCCACCCCCACCCCTGAATCCTTCCTTACGTGTGTCAAAGACGGGCTGAGTCAAGAAAGTCTGCCTGAGAAAAGGGAGGGATGTCTGGGCACCTTCATGCCTCAGGGCCACCCGTCCCAGCCCGAGCGCCAGCCTGGCCAGACCCTGGAGGTCCTACCCGACCTGTCCTCGCTGAGCCTCCCGGGGCTGATGCTTCTCCCTCTCTGGGCTGAGCTGGGGGCGCTCAGGTAAGCTGCATTTGCTGGGAGGGGAAGGAACGCACATCTCTCCAACCTCCATGATCAAGGCCCTGGCCCCAGCTATCTCCAAGGCCTCCCCCGCCTGTCCCCAGGGCAGCTGCTACACTCCTGGGGGCGCTTGGTTTACGGTGCCCTCTTCCCATCACCCTTCAGCTGGGGCCGCAGCAGCATCCTCAAGCCAGCGGCGGCGTGGCGGGGGGGAGACGCTGAGACACACCGTGACCCCCCCAGGTGTTCCCTCGGCCAGGAGAGGCCTGTATCTGACCCTGAGCGCTCACAGGTGGACAGGCCTGCTCGTGCACGGCCAGTCTCAGCAGAGCCCTGGTGTGGCTGATACGCAGCGCTCCCGGCCTGCGTTCCACTGTGGCCGTCTGTCAGCCCACACACCACCTGCTCCGGGTCTGGTGAGGCAGCAAGTTCCAGTCCGTGAGAGACCTAAATGATACACCATGCAGGAACTCTTTGGAAAAAGGGGAGGAGGGTGGCTTGGTGAAGACCCCAGGAACTCTGGGCAGGCAGGGTCCCAGCTCCCCCTCAGGAGATGGAGCAGGGACTGTGGCCCTTCTGTCCTTCTTTCAGAATCCCCCGGGGAAGGTGTGTGGATCAGGGCTCCCCTGCCCACCCTGAGACTGAACACTTACTGACACACCACTGACTTCACAGCATCCCACAAGTTACTGAACCTCGAGGAGTCTCATTGTCCTTCTGTACCTTTCAGAGTTCTGGGGAGAAATAGCTAAGATACCGTGTGTGGAGTGTTGCCCGGCAGAGGAGGAAACGGAACAGAAAGCCAGCAATCTCCTCATCTCTTGGCCTGTCGTGTGGCCTACAGACTTCAGGGTTGGATATATCTTCATTAGATACTTGGCATCAGAGTGAGCTGTTCACCTGCACATCTCCCCTGCTCCCAAAGATTTTGTCCCCACAAATAGCCCCTGGCGAGAGACTGGTGACCAGGTAACTTTGTGGAATAAATGACTGAGTTAACACGTTTCTGTGAGCATCACTGGATCCACGATTCTCATACTTCAGTATTTATCAGGATCACCTGATAAATTGGGGTCCTGGCTAAAGAGTTAGATTCTTGGGCCATACTTCCGGGGTCTGGGGCTCTGCATTCTTAGTGAGTTCTTTAGGTAATTCTGATGAGGGTGGTGCATGACCATAGGCCCTGAAGAGCCAACTCTATGAGAAGCGGTCGGGTGGAGCGGCTGGAGGCCAACTCGTCACGTGGGTATATCCTCCCACCGTGGCCTGCTGCCCCGGCCTGGAGACTCTTGCTGGAGGGTCATCAGTGTGTGTAGGAAGTACAGTGTGAAGTGTTAACTAATCTCTTACAGCACATAAGAGTTTATAAAACACGTCCAAACATTATGGCACTTCATTTCATCCCTGTCACAATGACAAGAAAAAAAGCTTCTCATCTACATTTTCGATATGAGGCTACTGAGGTCCAAAGAGGTTAAGTGACAGAATTGGTCAGGGATGAAGCCAGCACCTCTAGCACCATCGACTGGCCCCTTCTGCGTACGCCAGAGGTCCTCAGTCACTTTCTCAAGCAGGTATCTTTGGTCTGGAACTTGAAGGTAACTCAACTTTGCAACATCAGAATGATGTTGGTGACCAGGTAACCGGGTTTAACAGTAATAAATCAGTGAACACACACACACACACATGCATACACACACACACTCACATCATTTTGAAGATCATTTGCTTTCTGATTCCTTAAAGGCAGCACTGAAAGGTTAACATGGCAGAAAGACAGTCAGAATATTTTAACTCAGTTTCCTAAAGAATAGAAACTCACTTTCCTCTGGTTGTGAGCAATATTTCCTGCTCCCAGTGGGGGTCTGGGAGGGCTGACCTCCTTAGGACCAGGTCCTCAGCGCCCAGGCTGGGCCTCACTGAGCACAGGTTCTGACAGATCTCCAGACAAGCAATGAGGTCGCACTCACCAAAGAAGCAAGACGCCTGTCCCTGTCCAGGCCTTGACACAGGGTTCCCATTGCTCCTTGTAAACTGAGGCCCGCAAGACCGGGCAGCTGAGTACCCAGGGCCTGGAGTGCGCCCAGCAGGGGGCCACACTGCGGCCGGACCTGCATGTCATGCTGATCGGAGCTGGAGAGAAGTGATGGGATATTCACGACTGTGTTAACATGAGTCATGAAGTGCTGTAACTGAGCCCTGAGGGAGGGCTCAAAAACGGGACTGAGTCTCATCCCTTCAGATGGTTTAATATAGTTCCACATAGAGGCAGGCACATACACACGTCATTGGGAGTTCTTGCCTCAACCCTTCAACGTAGACATCATGGTTCCATCTTGATGAGTGAAAGAGCTGAGACCCAGCAAGTTCCTTAATTTGCTCCAGGTCACTCCAAGTTGGCATCAATAAATAGGGTAGCATGAGCTGATTAAGAAGGCAGAGTCATCATGTGAACTGGAATCCAAATCTATTGGACATGAAAACTCATGTTCTTTCCACTGTATTTATTACACACATGTGCTTGAACACACACGCATGATTCATAACCTACCAATGAGATGTTGGAGAAGGAAGTGGTCCTTTCCACAGCTATCTTTAGAGAGGGATGAAAGATTTATATAAACTGAACAGAAACCAAAATGTCACCAATGCCCCAAGAGAGGTCCAACTGAAGTAGACACAGAGAACACATCCCTTTGGGGAATGGAGGATTCAGGATTTCCGCAAGTGGAGGGGGAGCCTGGGAACCGGTGTTCCAGGGGAGGGAGGTGCCTGAGCAAACACCCAGAGGCCGGATCCTAGTGACTATTTGTGTCTCTGGAGCAAAGGGGGGCCTGCAGAAAGGCTGGAAAGAAAGGTGCTGGCAAATCCTGGATGCCAGCCCAATGCCAGACTGAAGGACAGAAAGGTCAGTCCCTTTCAGATGATGACTTCCAGAACCTGGAACCTCTATCTGTTTCAGGGATACATCCCTGCCAGCCTCTCCACCTGAGCCTGCCAGCAGGTCTCTATTTTCAAAGCGCTTACACACCTGCTGTTTCACGTGACCCTATGGAACACTGGGAGGTCTAGGAGTGACTCAGAGATGCTCTCATTGCACAGGGCCCTGACTCGCTGTCCAGTGCTCTCTCTGCTGCCAGCTGCTGCCCACTCCCGGGCTGGTGATTCCTTTCCAGGCAGGCTGTTTGTGCATACCTCCTGGTCCAGCCCTCAAGCTGGGCAAGCAGAATCAACTGAACAGAATCTTTCCAACAGGATCGGGCCTCTGGCTCACTTGCTTGCTATCAGTGAGGAGAGGAATTGGATCTCTGAACAGGGCCTTTGTCACTCCTGAGTCTCCATGGCTGTCCCAGGCCCCATAGGCCAGGTGTAGCAGGAAGTGGGCCGAGGGAAGGGAAGAAGAAGCCTACTACCCGGCAGCCTCTGCTGGTGATCTCCTGGGAGGAGCTAAGCCACCTCTGTCTGAGGGGACTCAGGATGTCCCTTGTCGAAGGCTGGGTGTGACCCAGACACTCTCCCTACCTAATCTCATTTAATTTTCACAGCAGCCCTATTCGAGAGAGACTGTAGTTACCCCCCATCATACAGATAAGGAAACTGAGGTTGAAAAGGTCAAGCGGCCGCCCAGGGTGTCAGAACTGCTGGGGGGTTCCCGTCTGACTCAGCGCCTATGTGTGGAATCACCATGACTCTGTTCCGGTTCCCAGATTGGGCGCCCCCCCCCCCCCCCCCCGCTTCCTTCTCTCCCGGTGATGCCCAATCAACCATCCCTCCCACCCTTCCCTCCTCTGCCTCCCTTTCTAAACTGGATCCTTGGGCTGCATGCCACCTGGGTGGTGTAGGAAGTCGGTGTGTGATATGTGTAACCTTGTCTGAGAGCTCCCTGAGAGCCAGGCCTTGCGGTTCATAGGAGAGGGACTGCCATCCCACTGACGGATGGGGTGCCAGAGGCTTGCAGCTAAGCTGCTTGTTTGCCCAAGATCTCATCGCCTGCGGCAGAGCTGGGATTGGAATACCGACGTCCCCAGACCAGGGCTCCACAACCTACACCACAATCGCCCCCACCAGCTGGGAAAACAGAAGGACTTGCCGTCCGGCTAGAGTCTGCCTGGCCCAGATACGGAGCTTTTCCACTGGGCTTACCACATCCACACAGCCAGCCAGCGATGTTTGCACTCTGCCTTGAAAATCCACTAATCCTGCCCGTGGAGCAGAAACTTTTTTATTTGCAACCTGTACCAGCTCCAAAAAGACAAAAGTGTGCGATTGATCTTCCCGAGTGTCAGACTGTGAGGCATTGAAGCTGTCCATGAGCAATGGCTTCTCGGAGTCTGGACTGACTTCTGAGGACGACTAGCCTCTGTTCATTTCCTGTCTCTGAGCTGCAGTGGAGCACAGGAGCTTGGCGTGTATCCCCAGGAATAGAACCTTCAGGAAGAGCTGTTTCTCTCAGT